GTTGAAAAAAAAACCGTTTACAGTACAATGTGTGCAGTGTGCACGGTGCACAGTTTGTAAAGATCAGTTTTCTGTTTTTTCCATCTACAGTCTACACCATCAGCTGTTAAACGGTTGGAAGTCAACGAACAGACGATAATTAATAAAGTTAATAAACAGAACTTTTTAAAAATAAATTCTATTCGATTTTTTAAAAATATTTGAAAATTTAAACAATGCTCCAAATTTAAATTCTAAAAAAATTAGCCTGGATTTATCTGTGATTAAGATAAAATAAAAAACTTCCAATATATAGCTTGATACACCACAATCTATGATTTCAAACAAATAGCATGGTTTAAAGGACTCCCAACATATAGCTACTCGGAGATGGTTTAAAGGACTCCCAACAGAGCTCTATAAATCACAAACTATAACTTCAAACAACAGATTACTCTGAGATGGTTTAATGGACTCCCAAAATAGAACACTCAGAGACAGTTTAAAGGACTTCAAACATAGCTTTATATACAACAAACTATAAGTTTAAACAATAGTATACTCGGAGATGGTTTAAAGGACTTTAAACATAGCTTTATATACAACAAACTCGAGAATACTTGTTTGCAGAAAGTTCAAAGTACACCCCCATGACCTAACACAGCTACAAACTTTAAGTCCAAAAAACTATAATCAGGGATGTTTTAAAGAAAAATATTACAAAACCATTCACTACAACACTGATTAGGGGTCAAGGTATAGTATGGCTCTGCTATGATTAAAAGACTCCCAACCGGGAGAACTACTCCTATCCAAGAATAGACTCTAATCAGGAAAGGTTTGCAAACTATACAACTGCAAATTCCTGAATGATTTTTGCATCAAAAATGTCAAGGAGGATGATTTGCAGTTTTCTATAGGGTTGTAAAATCAGAAGAATAAAAGCAGTTTAAATAGATTGAAAACATATATTTTCAGGATTGTATGAGTAAAAGTTTTAAACATATGTTCTGACATTTTCCTCAGCTTTTGTTTATTTTGTCAGACTTGAAGTGTATATTTGCAGACTATTTGCGTCTTTTTATACACAGAACTCTGTATACAATTTACATGTGTTTTTATTGCGACGAATAATCTAAAGATATCAGCTGAACCCCAGTATCAGCAGTTGAACCTAGAATCAAGTTTAAGCTAAGATCAAGATTATGTTATGTTGTGTATAGAGTAAAGTCAAGCAGAACCTAACAAGGATTAAAGCCAAGCAGAACCTAACAAGGATTAAAATCAAGTAAAACCTAACAAGGATAAAAATCAAGTAGAACCTATATTAAGAGTAAAATCAAGTAGAAGCTATACTAGGATTAGTAAAATCAATTAGAACCTATACAAGGATTATAATCAAGTAGAACCTATACAAGGATTAAAATCAAGTAGAACCTATACAAGGATTAAAATCAAGTAGAACCTATACTAGGATAAAAATAAATCAGGTAGAAACTATGCGTGGAGTAAAATCCTAGTTTAGGTTCAGTAAAATAAATTAGAACCTACACTAGGGTTAGTAAAATCAGGTAGAACCTATACAAGGATTAAAATCAAGTAGACTAGGATTAAAATTAAGTAGACTAGGATTAAAATTAAGTAAACTAGGATTAAAATTAGGTAGAACCCGTACTAGGATTCAAATCAAGTTAAAATTTTCTACGGATTAAAATAATGCCTGATCTGGAAACTCAAAACTTATCTTTAGAAGATGAGACATTTATCTAATCCGGAGAACTTGAATATAAAATAATCCTGACTTTTTGTTGAAATAAAATCTGAAGAGATCTAACCGTTCTTCCTCCCATCAGATAAAATTAAAGTAGCAGCTCCAGAAGGGGCAGATAGAAAGGTTTGGGAAAAAAATGAAATATTTCTTGAATTCAGGATTTGAAACGTTTGTACCAATGTTTACTCAGACAAAAAGCACACTTTATCTTTTGTACACTCTACTGTACTGTGTTTAGTACACTATTCAGATAAAATACAGAGGAATATATATATAATAATAATAATAATAGTAATAATAATAAATATATATATACATAACAAAACAATTAGAAATATNAATAATAATAATAATAATAATAATAATAATAATAATAATAATAATAATAATAATAATAATGATAATAATAATTGTGTTTGTGGAAAGAATTGTATGTGTATGATGCCATGAATCCCAACGAAGCCTTTTTCAGTATATTTAAACAAATTATCAATTATTTCCATATAATGAATAGTTTAATCATTTCAAATTATGTTTTTAAGAACATATTTTTATTGCTGTCTGTATAATTACATAGGACATTAGCATAATTATATCTAACTTACGTTCAAGTGTTCCTTGTTCATTTATGGAAAACTGTTCTTCTTCTATGTTAATTGGTTTCAAATCATCGTTTTCATCCTTTTTATTGGTAAATATGTGAAACAGTATTTATCATTTCTCAGCCTAGATATTTAGCTAAGCATTAGATTAAAGTTAAACCATTAAATCTGCTAAAACATTAAACATCTGATCCACTGAAAGGGAATCTGAAAATCCTTGTTCGACCTTTATTTCTATTTCTGTACACAAATGCACTAAACTTATTACCGCAAAAAACTCCGCAACTTCTGCTCCGTACTCGAATAAAAAGCAGGAAAAAATGTTAGTTTTTGCTTCGGTAAGTAGACGGCTCTCTAGCCCGGTCCTACCGCTCCCCCGGCAACCCCGTCTCACCTGTCGGCGGCGCGGCCCGCCCGTCCCGCGCCCCTCAACTCTTTTTTACCAGTTCTTCAAATGCATGTGTGTTTTTGTGGGTGAATACTAACTCTGCTGCCTGCCGTTCCAACGTGCTTCTAAAGCACTCTAAAAACTTAAACAAGAAAACTTGAATTGTGATCACGAAAAAAGTTTAGAAAAAACTTTGTGAATTCTTTTCGATTTAAATGCGGGAAACCTGTGAACCACATCAAGAATAAAAAACTAAAGTAGTAAAACTACTTAAGAAAATAGTGTGATCTCCTCGGAGACTAAAATATACATTTGAAAGGGGGATTTAAAAAATCCCCCTCGACCCCCCACCCGTCGGGCGCAGGCAGCTAGAGTACATAATGGTTCAATATTCACATATAGGTAATATATTCTTTTATAACAATGGAGGGGTGTGCTTAACAAGTGGAACATATTATGTTCTAAAGTTGGTTAAAAAATGCGCAACAATAGTTAAGTTTTTGTTTAAATCCGTACATTTTAGAGACTAGAGATATATTGAAAACAAAATTTTAAATTTGACAGTTGTTCTTACTTGTATCCTTATCTTACACAAAAGTACAAATTATGAAGCTCATATCAGAAAAAAAAGTGAATGAAGAAAACCATTTAAACCTTTCTGTATTCCTAAACCTTTTTAAATCTCTTTGTATCCCTTAACCCTTTTAAACCTCTCTGTATCTCTAAATCCTTCTTAACCTCTCTGTATCTCTAAATCCTTCTAAACCTCTATGTATCCCTAAATCCTTCTAAACCTCTCTGTACCCCTAAACCCTTCTACACCTTTCTGTATCCCTAAACCCTTTAAAACTTCTCTGTATCCCTAAACCCTTCTAAACCTCTCTGTATCCCTAAACCCTTCTACACTTCTCTGTATCCCTAAATCCTTCTACACTTCGATGTATCCCTAAACCCTTCTAAACCTCTCTGTATTCCCAACCCCCTCTAAATCTCTCTTCTAACCCTTCTAAATCTCGCTATATCCACCAACCCTTCTAAACCTCTTTGTATCCCGGCCTAAACCCTTCTAAACCTCTCTGTATCCCTAAACCCATCTAAACCTTATTGTTTCCCTAAATCCTTTGTATCCCTGATGTACCCTTCTTAAACCTCTGCATGTTTAGTAGTCCATAGATTTATAGATATTTTATCAAATCAATGTTTATCATATGGCAAACCTGGCTCTCAATCAATTTTTGCATAACTCGGATTTTTGCGCAAAAAAAATACACGTGGGCAAAAAGAAAAATAAGGAAATACAGTTTTGTGAGTTTTTACAAATCATAAAGGTGTAAAGAGTACAGTTGGAGAAAAAGAAAATCTTTCATTAATATTTATTAATATAATATTAGTATTGATATTAATATATAACTCTAAAGCAGTAAAACTGATATTTATCTTATCAGTTTTAGTTTAGTATTGATAACACTTATTTATTCAAAAAAAATTCAGAGTAAAAAAGGAAAATGTACACAAATGTGGAAGAAATAAAACTGGCTTTAAAACATTTGAATATTGGTTGATGAAAGGATGGGTTAAAAGATAGAAGGGTGAAAGATTGGAAAGGGGGAACCATGAAATGGTGGAAGGATGTAAGAGTAGAGGCGGAAAAGGCAGAAGGGCGGTAGGATTGAAGAATAGAAAGATAGAAAGATAGCAAGATAGAAAGATAGAAAGATAGAAAATAGAAAATAGAAATATAGAAAGATAGAAAGATAGAAAGATAGCAAGATAGAAAGATAGAAAGATAGAAATATAGAAATATAGAAATATAGAAATATAGAAATATAGAAAGATAGAAAGATAGAAAGATAGAAAGATAGAAAGATAGAAAGATAGAAAAATAGAAAGATAGAAAGATAGAAAGATAGAAAGATGGAAACATGGAACCATGGAAAGATAGAAAGATAGAAAGATAGAAGGATAGAAAGATAGAAAGATAGAAAGATAAAAGATAGAATGGAAGGATAGGAAGATTGAAAGAAAAAATCTGTAAGTTGGTTAAAGTGGAGAAGTTGGATTGTGTGGGAATGGGTTGAGAAAACATGTGTTAATTCCTCTAAATCCTGCCATATGATAATACGATGGGATGTTTTAAACTTTTTATCTAAAACATGTAACTGCAGAGTGCTCTACAGTTTCATGGATATAGATACATTTAAACTTGATTTTTACAATAATTTTGTTAACGAAACAATATATAATTTTTATTAAACTTTTAAGTTTTTGAAATCCAATTTAAAAGGGCCGTTTTAATTGAAGTTGAAATGCAAACTTTAAAGATTGATCAAGACAAAGATATCAATATCAGAATTGAATACATTTTGTTGAGAACAGTTTCTAGGCTAATGAAGAAGAAATACATTTATCATATCAAGTTTTAGAGGGATTAAAAAGGAGCAAATATTGACAATGTATTGAGGCTTATTCTTTATAATAGATTTATTTTCAGCGTATATCAATCCAAAAATAGTCTCATAAATTTTAGATGATAAATGCCGATTCAGCTTTTTTATTTGTTACAAACCTACTCAAGTGAATTTGCGTTTCTCTTAAAACCTCTGGAAAGTGGCGAGAAGTGCCAACAATTCCTCCACAGTCCACACTCCTGTATAATGATGACATCAGCATTTTGCGGAAATTCCATTTGCAAAAATGATTCTAGCTTTTGCATGATTATATCGCTAGTGCAAGACTAGTTTGCAATGAATTTTGCAGGTTTTTACTCTCAACTCCGCGATAAACTTGATGTTTTTACTCCAGTAGCAGCACTGAACAGTAGGTTTTTACTCTACTCACCAGCTCTCAACTGCACATGGAGTCTAGATCGTGAATTATAGTCCTTTAATAAGAACTACAACAATGCTTTTTGCACGCAAATTTTTACACTTCAACTTGTAGATGTGCAAAAACAATGCACAACACAGCAGTTTCTGCAGACTTCTTCAATGCATAAAATAGACATCGTTGTTTACCTTCTTATCTCACAGTTTTTAATCTATAAACAAGTTTTTCAAAAATGTTGAAAATTTTTCTATGATTCAAGACTAATATTTAACCTTTACTTTTCTACCGTAATCTTGTTTTGGTCAGTTTACTTTTTATACAATCATTTCTTTTATATTTAACTAGCTTGAGAACCCACCGTTGCCCAGGGTACTCACAGTAACTCCACCGTTTACCCGCGCTTTGTCGTAAATTACGATTTTAGCTATTTTCCCTATAAAACCCACTCAACTTAGAATCTCAAAACCAAGCTGAGAAAACTCCTGTGGGTCTCCCGAGTTCCCCAATCAAAATTTGAGGCAAATCGGTCCGAAGTATAGATCGTACATACAAACAAAGAAACAGAGATAAATATATAGATAATAAATATATAGATTCTCCTCTCGTAACTTCATGTCATTATTCCCCTCTTTTAATTCATTTTAATTCATGTCGGAAGGTGGAGGGG